ACATTAATGAATACTACAACTAATGATAGTTGGATGACAAATGGGATATTCATAGTCTCAAAATACCTGCACACAAAATATTGATTGATGATAAAGGGAAATGAGAAACTTGATAGTAGAGAAACCTGGAAGATATCAGCTAACTCAAGTGATCAAAGCAAACATCACCGGTGCAGGGAGACAGACATCACGTGCTACCTGATGGGATGCAGTGAGAAGAGCAGAGCTCCACGTCCGTGACATTCCTGCCAAAGATGATTGACCTAACTCTTCTGTGAGTAAAAACAGACAAACCGAAATAAAAGAATGTTCCATGAAATACCTCTCTTCTAATCTTAAAACATGTTCAAGTCAGGAAAGACAAGAACGACTGAGGAACTGTTCCAGACTAAAGGAGACTGAAGAGATATAATAAATAAGCACAGTGTGACATTCGGGATTAAATTTTTGTCTGCTAAAGACATCATTTGGACTGTCAGTGAAACGCAAATAGGGTCCCTGGGTAAAAGGAATATAGGGATTCCCTGGGTGTTTTCACTTTTATGGAATTTTGAAATTATTTCAAAATAAAAAGTAAAAGAAAAAAGGTGTACCTTTTTTAAAAAAAGAAACTGTCTAAAGTTTAATTAAAAGAAATAAACCACCTCTCAGATAGTAAATACATACAAAAATGTTCATTCCTTCTGGCAATGTAATGCAAATTAAAGCAGTCTTAAAGTATCATTTTATATCTGCTTGGTTTTTACTGTAGTCATTTGTTTATATGTTGGTTTGCTTTGTCATATGATAACTAGAAAAGGTTTATTCTTTATTTTGTTTTCTAAGTACTGTTACATAAAATGACTCATAAACATAATCCTTACAATAACTCTGTAAAAAAGATGCCATTATTTTCTCCACTTTACAGAAGCAATTGAGGCTTAGAGACTTAAGCGGCTTGCCTGAAGTTATATAGCCTGCAAGTGGTGGAAGCGGGGTATGAACCCAGGTAGTCTGACTCCCACAATTTTAACCTCTATGATATACTGCTTTGCATATTCAGACATGGCTGAGGTACTAAACTTAGCACAGACCTTTTGAAGAGCAATGAGGCCATGCCACCCTATAGTCACCAAATCCTCTAGACACTTGCCCATTAATAAACTGCTGAGAATTTATTCTAAGGAAAGCTATATGCAGAAAAGAGAAAGCTACATGTATAAAGATGTTCTCTATAATGGAAACTTTAAAAATGACCAATACAGAAATGGTTAAGATCATTATTATTAACTTGATGGAATATTCTGTAGTCATTTAAAATGATAATTATGGAGATATATGGAAATTAGGAAAATGTTTATAATATATTAAGTTAAAAATGCAAAGTATATGTTTACTTGGAAATATGTAAAAATTGTGTGTGCATAAAAGCAACGAATTAAAAAGTAAAATTCAAAAATGATAGTAGCTGTTAGAGAGTCATGGAATAATTGGTGACTTTTTTCTTTCACATATTTTCATGGTGTTTACAACAAAAAATAGAAATTGAACACTTCCAAAACATATCTTATTAACAAATATCTAGAAAGCGATGAAAGGATTCTTTTGGAGGAGATGGGTGGTAATTATGTCCATTTACATGTAAATTTGTTAAATTTAAAAAAGTTAGACAACAAAATAATAGAAAATTTGTGATTCAACATAGTATAATGCACACACATCTAAAAGGACATATACTGGAATATCTATTGTGGTTATCTCTAGGTGGTAAGATTATAGGGGACTCTTTTTACCATTTTTAAACTTAGTGTTATATACATATCATTTCTAATAAATATTTCTAAAAGAACTGTATAGGTAAATTATTGCTAAATTAAAATACTTTAACACAATCTTGGCAACTGACTCCACAATTTCATAAGAAAAACAGGATAGCTTTCTCATATCATTTGTTCTATACTTAGGATTCACTATTTCTGTTCCTCTGGCTAGATGGGCCAACAATTATATCTTATATAAATAGTCCAAAAATGATTGAGAATATATCTATCTATAGTTCATGCAGAAGCCCAGTTCTTATATACACAGATCACACTGACCAATGAATTCATATCAAGAACAAAATACCATTCATAATGACTTTATTACAAGAATATATATATTTTCCTCAAATAAAACTTCTTACCGTGAACTTTAAGGTATAATAGAAAAATAAAGCTTAGAAAATTAGTCACATTCCCAAACAAAATAAGAAAAATAATTTTAAATAGGTAGAAATATCTAATGTCAGCATTCAAAAGAAATGACTCCTCTTATTCAGTACTTTTAATATATTTCAAATGTTTATAAAAGAAGTGGATAAAGTCTTCCTGAAATCTGAATATTCTATGAGGTTGAGGAAAAAAAAAAGATGAGCAGTCAGGAAAAAAATGAAAAAACGAGCAAAAAAAAAGACAAAAATAAGAGGCAAAATTTAAAGGCCCTTAAGGGGGAAAAAAATTAAATGATAGGAGGACTTAGATTATGAGCAAATTTTAAGCCTAGCATAGTCAAGAAATGTCCATAGGAAAGAAAAGAGAATGTTATAGGGTATAATAAAAAAAAAAAGTTATATTCAAAACTATTAACTGAAGACTTTAAAAACTAGAAGGCATTTCATCTATTTGGTATGGTTTGAAACATAATCCTGCTATGAACATGTAGAATGCTATAAACGGCTTGTATGTTCTATCACATGAGTATTAAAGTGAGAAGAGCCCTCTGCATTAGAAAGCAGATGAATATATTCGCTATCTCAAATTTGATTGGCTAAAATTGAGATCATGATGCCCAATCTCCTCCTTGCACAAGTGTGGCTGAGGAATAACTCATCATACTTTTCTTCCCCTTGTGTTATTAAATGGCACACAGAGGCAATGAAGCCATGCTCTCCTTCAAGTTTGCTCTCTTCTGCCTATGCCAAGCATGATTTTTATTCTCTAGAACCATTTCTTCCTCAAAAGAGCTCGCCAAAGTTGTCATCCTTCCTATCAGCTGCCCCACTGGCTCTGGTGAGTGACATCCAGACATTTAAACTCAAAAGCTGCTTCAGAAGGGAGTTATTAAAATTCAAATGAGCTGGGCATATTGAAGAAGAAAACACTCGTTTGCATGCACACCTCAGCATTTGGCCATCCCATTTAGCCCCATAGAGCAGGGTCTGGTTTTGTTTTTGTAAATGGGCTTCCGAGGCGGAGGTCAGCCTCCCACGGTCCCCACCCCTCTGGGGTCATCATGAGTAATGTGGAAGGCTGAATAGACTCTCCTCTGAATCTAGTCAGCAAACCTGACAAGAAGGCAGCCCTCTCCCACAACCTGAAAATACCAAAAATCTGATTGGTAATATGGCATTTTTTAATACTTCATTTATCAGTTTAAAACAGCTTTCAGCAAGACTGCACATAACGTCACTGATGCCAGTTCCACCTGATTTTTTAGTTTTAGAGCAGAACATTTCCTTTTGTGCTATGACTGTATAATCATAAAAATGTTACATTTAACCAAGAATTTCCCTCAGGATTCAGAGAAAAATAATTTCTGCCAAGAAAAATGGATCTGGGGGACCAAATGACTTTATTCACTAGAAAAGAAAGAGTCTATCTTTCATTTTTATTTTATTTCTCATGGAAATTATCTCACATTATCATCATTTAAAAATTTTATAAGATATCGGTGAGCAAAGTAACAAAAAATGAGCAAAAATATATATTCCTAGAAGTATTCTGGCCATGGAAATTTTAGATGCCCTTTTAGTAAAAATTCAATTTCTTACTAGTAAAGACATCTCTATTATATTATCTATTTTAAATAGACTTAATTTATGGCACTATAAACAATTAACTTCACATTATGTGTAATATTATGACATGTTTATATATATCATGTACAATGACATAATCGCATTTTAATTAATTTTTTTATTGTGGTGACACTGATTAATGAAATCCAGTAAGTTTCAACCATATATCAGTTTTTACTGAGGATATGTAGAAGCAAATCATGCTAACTCATGACCCTAAGATAATAGCACAATTTCTAAACTCCAGAAACTAAAGGAACTCATCTCCAAAGTATGAAAGTAGTTTATAGTCTGGAAGCTCCAGGGACTACTGTGCTTAGTAGGAAATCAGAAGACATGACTTTTAATGACTCTTTCAATGGTGAGATTTTATTCTTCCACAACCTTTAATAATTAGACTTCCTTCCTCCAGATTTATTTTAATTTGTTTAAAACTTTTTTAAAAATAAAATTGGGATGATCTTGTTGTTAGGCACTGATTTTGCCCAGACTGACAACAAAACTAGCAAATATCAATGCAACTGATTCCTGAGCTGTGACATCTTGAGTTCTAATCCATTTTTTCCTCACAGCACTGAATAGTATATATGTTTCATTACAGAGTATTTATTTAATAAGACATATGGCATTCTTCTGGCTCTAGTTAAAACAAAAGGCATACAATCTCTGTCTTCAGGTTGCTTGCGCTCTAATGTAGGTGACAGCAACATAGAATCACAAAGGGATGAATGTTTGCAAAGAAGCAGAACATAAGCTAAAAATAAGACCCAGAGTCAGTGATTTTGGCAACACAGAGCGATCATACAAGGTTCAGGGAGAAAACCTACTTCCAAGCCAGGTCCTGAAACGCAAACCGTACCCAGGTGTGTCTTCTCTTGTTAGGTCACGCTCACCAGATATTGACATGAAAAGTAATGTGCACTTTCACTTTTGAAATGACGCAATGGAAGATTAAGGTCTTTGCAGAGTCCCCCCCCAAGGTCATTCATAGAGACTACACAGAGTGTATGTTGATGTACCATTTATTGTAGTTGGCCTCCTGGTCATCTGTATTGCAAAGATGATCTAGCAGAAGAAAATATCCCCCCTTCAGATTTGTATTGTTTAATACAATACAAGGCTGAAGGCACAGAAACTTAACATGTAGAAAGAATGTTAAAATTCAAAAACTGCATTTACTTGCCTTTTTTCCCTCCTGTAATGAAGAAGCCAATGGCTGCTCTGATAAAACTGCTTTCAGGCAAATAGCTATAGTCAGTAGGAACTGTGGAGACAGAAAATGATCAAATTAACCAGTGAACTTGGCAGGACTAATGAAGGAAAGATAATGATCTCATGCTGCCATATTAACCTAGAGACAAAAGCGGAGATGTTTATGCCATTAATCTCAGCGCAATAGTCGGTAGCTACAACTAATTCTATTAGATTAAGTGACTGGCCTTGAAGTAATCATTTAGGCTATGCCAGCTATCTAAAACAGTAGGAATCCCAGTAGAGGCTGAAAAACCACAGAGGACAAAAATTTTACCAAAGTAGTTAAAAAAAAATCCTTCCCACGTTGACACATCAATGAACCCTAATCCTGTGACCTTCTCAGTGTCAGCAAGGAGTCTGCTGGGCTTCCAGGCTGAGACCACCAGTCTAAGAGCTACTTCAGAACATCCTGAGTCACACATATGAACCACGGAAATACTACAATCAGTATTAATAGCAGCCAGTCTCTTCATAAGACAGGGACCTCTGAGTGACCAACATGTACAAATAACCAGATGCTGCTGACCTGGAATGGTGAAGCAGTGACATTTATGCCAGTTGAGTCTTGGGAGTTTCCTAGCTTCTTTTCCTCCCAGTTCCCCAAAATTGTTTCATGAGGTGGTTTTTACTGAAGTAAATGGCTGAACTGGAAAATTCCATCAGAAACAAGCGGCTGTACTTTTCCAGACATATAGTCACATAGTTCTGAAGAACCTGGGTGTAGGATGATTCGCTATGACCTGACTTGAGTATATGTGGGCCAGACCATGTACCCCACAACATAACAATTAAAAGCCTTTGTAAAAAAGCAAAAGCCTGACACAAACATGCTATTTTACCAGGATATTGTGAGAGCACTGCCTTTCAAAAGTAGCATTACAAAGGGTTTCCAATATGACTAAGTTTTTCTTTTTCCCATTTTAATACGACAGCTTCCAAACATCTAAAGTTCATCATGTTGGGAATGCTACAGAACAATATCCCATTTCTGTAGCTAAGGAGTGACCGAAAGTGAGGGAGACAGTAATTACAGAAATTACAGGGGCCTATGTTCATGGTAATGCTGTCCGTAGACTACCTGTCAGAGGACATGTGAAACTAGATTTTAATGAGGAATCTTTGGCACCTAAACCTCTCTGGCCTGGGTCCAAGAGAGCCGGTGGGTCAAAATTCTATAAAGAACAAGGAGCAGACATAGGTCTCAGTGCATTACAGTAATGCCTCCTTAACAAATCTCCAAGTGCAACATAAATTAAGAATGTGGGAATTGCAAATATTTCTTATTGCTTTTACAAAAAAGCTGGCAATAGAAAAAGCCGTGTTATATTAACACCTAGGATTTCAGTTCCAAGGCCAAGGTGATGTACAATTGTAACTATTATTTTCTCAAAAGCAGGAGCCAGAAGAACTGCAGCCATATATGAAGAGAATTTTAATGAAATACTAGCAGTATTCAAACTATGATTACATCTAGTAAAATAAAAAGAACTCTAGTCCAGGCCTCAAGGACCTGGTTCCTTTTTTCTGGATTTGTCAGTAAACTAATTCTGTATGTAAGTAACGCCATTTTTCTGAGCCTCAGGTTCCTCATCTGTAAAATATGGGGTTAGATTCAGTGTCTAAACTCTTCCCTGAGGGAGGCAAAGAAGAAGAGTTCAGATCTGAGTTCTACGTTCGTGTCTACCACTAACTAACTGCCATGTGACCCTGGGTAGGTCAGGAAGCCTTTCCAAGGTGCATTTCCTCTGACGTGTAATAGGGAAGGTAATACCCACCCCTGAGGGTTGCTGTGAAGGTTAATGCTCTTAACTAAGTACATAGCCTCCAGTCAGCAATCCCTCCTTGCGGCTCCAGTGCCCTATGGCTCTAATCTTACCAGAGGTTCTACTTTGATTGGAGGACAGAATAGATAGATGAAGATGTCCCAGAAGCCAGATTGCATTGGACTGAAGACCAATCACCCCGGATACACTGATGACCTATGGATGAAAATGTAACAGTTCAGTGACAGGGCAAGATCCAAACTCCGTTCCATAAAAGTCCACTCACGGAAAGTCACTAATCTTTTATGAGGTCGTAACTTGTCTGGTAATGAGAAGTTCTAGGACAAGTGGTATCATTTGTCTAGTATACTAAACCTGGGACATAAAGGTTATCAACAAGCATTGCTGAATGACTGAATCAATGAATGAATCAATCAATCAATCAATGATGATAGAAGAAGGAACCAGTGCTTGTCTCAGGTATCGCTGACTCAGATTGGTCTCAAAAGAATTTTTCAAAAAATGGGAAAAGAAAATCCCAAAAGTGAAAAAGAGGTGATAGTTTCTCTCAAGATTAAAATACCTCTAAAAAAAATGAAAGGAGATATTATTTTGTTCTCTTCTTTAAATAATGTTTTATTATTTTATCATTCATAATAAGCATTTTAAAATTAGTTCAAATCACAGATTTTCCTCCCTAGTTATAGCAACTTAAGCTTCAGTAGAATTTTTGTTAGAATATTCATATTCATACACGCATTTAAAAAAGTTTCTTCTGTTCAGAGGTTTATGCTTGCTTTAAAAAATATGAATTACTAAAACTTCTTTAAGTTTACAGGTGTTGTAATCAACTATATTTTACAAAGATGAAAACAAGTATACTAAGTGAAAAGACTAGACTACAAAGTTCTATATACAGTAAGAATACCAACTATGCAAAGAAAATTAGAATCCTTGAAAAGAAATATGACCAAATATTAGAAGCCACTTGCTTCAGGCTGGAAGGACCATTAGTAGTATTTTTTCAGCTACTTTTACTCTGTACCTTCACATTTCATACAATAACATAATAAGTTTTTAAAAATAAAAATCTTAAGATATAAAATCATTTCTCAGCAGATGAATGTTTATTCTTTATCCAAGGATAATGCTAACAATGATTTACCCAAATATTTTTATCAGTGACATTGAACTAGTGATACTTGATCATTCTGCTTAGGTATCTGCACTGCCCTCTGATCACCTTCCATTTTTCCTTCTCCTAAGGGCCTGACATTCCTCACAGGGTCAAGTTTTAATTTTTAAGGAAACCAAATGACAACTTAAGTTAACTCAAAAATGCCAGTTTTCTTTTTTTTCCCAAGGCATTGCATGTTTGTCAGTAAATGTACGACCATAAACCACTTTCAAATGCCCCTTGAATTCACCATGAATAACCAGAGATTTAATTTTCTACGTAAGTTTGTCCCATGAAAGAGAAAAATGACAACAAAGGGGAATATCTGTTTCCCTACCTGAAGATTTTAAATTCCTCTTCTCACCTGTGTTATGGTTCTGATGACTTCATTAAGTCTGGCTTGAAAATGAGAGGTCTGTATGGCTTCTGACTTCAGCTGAAAGAAAAATGAGAAATGCCCGCCCCAACATCCCAGAAAAAGTAAATATTGATATTCCCAGTGGAGGAGCGATCATCTTCTGAGCTATGGAATAATTTATCATTATGTCCTTATATTTCAAAAACAAAAGCTGTGAGCTCCTTGAGAGCAGAACCCATTCTTATAAACCGTTATAGTATAAACAAAGGAATTCCTTAGAATTACATAAAAAGTTACACATATGCCCACTGTGGAAAACATTTTAAAGTGAAAAAATAATTACAGTGATATAAATTTAAACATTACATATGCAAAATGGAGTTTCTTATGAATGACCTGACATTTCTTATGATCCGGTCATTTTTTTCTCAGGTAGGGAACTTTGTAGAAAGTATACAAGTTCACTAGGTTTAATTCCTATAAACCAAATAAAATAAGAAACAAATATCTAGAGAAAGAATTCTCAGCAAAGAGCAGTTTTCCACACATCAGGTCACTAAAAACTCCACTATAATCATTACCACAAGCATATATTCTTTTGTCATTAGCACACTGAGATACTGGGCATTCTCCTCTTGCCATGGCTATGTACACATTTAGATTGCTTCCTTTTTCTTTTTCTTTTTCTTTTTTTTTTTACCTGCATTATATCTCCTTCGGAGCCTACCAAGGCTACCATACCATGAAGAGCTGCCAAGCAAAGCATTGTGGGCGTGCCCTGAAAACAAAGCGTCAGAATACGTCAATGGGGAAATAGTCCTTGGGTTTGAATTCTATAAAACTTATTATATCATAGAGAAATAAATAGTTGAAATGATACTAAGTTTGTAGGGTCAACATAACATGTATGACTGAACTAAACTGACTTGAATAAAGTAATAGGTTAGTTGTTAGATCATAGGTGGCTTCTTGTTTTTATTTTTAAAAAAATACAATGCTGTTCTAAAATTAAACGACAAAATAGCCAGTTTTTTTTTAATTGTAATAGTTGACAGATGTATCATTTATAAGAGATGAAAAGTACACGTTCCTCTTGTTTGAAATTGCCTGTTCTTTTATTAAGCTATATACCTGTAGTATTGAGGGTGATTGATTATTTTATTTTTTAAAAAAATGGAGCCCTGTGGAAAATTCAATAGCTAAAAAATCGAGTTTTTTTTTAATTGTAATAGTTGACAGATGTATCATTTATAAGAGATGAAAAGTACACGTTCCTCTTGTTTGAAATTGCCTGTTCTTTTATTAAGCTATATACCTTAGCAGCACCTATAAATGGTTCAATTAAGTAGGCTTTTTTCCTTTATAAAAAAAATAAAACAACATGCAACGGATGACTCTTACCTCTGCTAGAACAATTCTGATCCAGGCAGGGAGCAGTTTGTTGCCTAAGTCTTCAGCTTTCCCATGTCCGCATACAGACAAGCCGTGAACTATGTTCCCTAAGGCCAAGGCAAAACCTGAGGTCTGTTATAAAGAAATAAAACAAGGGGTAAGGAAAAAAAATAATGGCACGGATCAAAAAAATTTACATATAGCAACACGAGCACTTCTAGGGGCTCCCTTTCCTCCCAACAAGCTCTTTAACCATCCGTAAATCAGAGATTTGCATATTTTTAAAATCTAGACTTTGGTTTGCAAGAGAAACTACAGTCTAATTGCAAGAGATTCAGCTGCAGTTGAGTGATTTATCTGAGGAAAATAATACTGCATTTTTGAGCAATTGGCTCAAATGACCCAAATTCTCAGAAGGGGTTAGGGTGAAATACCAAAGTAGATCACACAAGCTCAATTAACTCCCAAGCAAGAAGAGAAAATGTCCCATAAAGAGCACCACATATGGAAACTTCTACATTTTGATGTTACAAAACCTCTTATAAGCGAGCAGGCATATAATCCATAAAATAGTAACAATACCATATAATATAAGCTTAAAACCAGTGAATTTTGAAATAACCCACTCTGGCCAATATTAAGACTTAGGACAAACCTTAAAAAAAAAAAAATTACCACCAATGGAGATATTCTAGAGCATGTGCAATCAGATGGAACGTTACTTTTCAATTTTTAAAATTGTGGTAAAAATACATAGAACATAAAATTGACCATTTTAACCATTTTTAACTGTGCATACAGTTCAGTGGTATTAAGTACATTCATACTGTGTGCAACAACTACTGGTCTCCAGAACTCTTCATCTTGCGAAACTGAAACTCTCTACCTATTAGATGGTAACTCCACATTACTCCGTCCCCCAGCCTCTGGCAATCACCATTCTACTTTCTAGCTCTAGGTACATCATAAAAATAGAATCATATAGTATTTGCCTTTGTGTGATTGGCCTATTTCACTTAGCATAATGACCTCAAGGTTCATCCTTGTTTCAGCTCATGACAGGATCTCCTTCCTTTTTGTGGTTGAATAATATTTCAGAGGGAACATTCAAAGGTATTTAATTTACAAGTATTTAAATATTCCCATACATATTCAGCCATGAGCAGAGATTTTCTGCCTTGAATGTGCTGAGGTTTGACCTTGTCAGAACCCTCTACACATTCATAGCTATACAAATTGTGGTCTCTGACTCTTATATTCCCAGCCACGTTTTAAGATTTTATAAATACAGAGCAACAGTTGGAGAGAGAGTAAAGCCTTTGTATTTTCTCAGACCAAAAGAGAATCAAGTCTATAGGAGGAGACAGAGGATGTGACTGCTGGCTATAGCTGTGAGAGAAGAGAATAATTAGAAGTTCCTCAGTTCTGGGCACGAAAATAGACCATTACACTCTAATTCAGAGTAAGTCAAAATCAGCATGAGACCCATAGGGAGAAACAGGCAGGGTACACATTCCAACCTGCTGGTTGTTCTCTACCAACAGTCGAAGCTTGTTCATAATATCTTCAGCCTCTGCAGCCTCAATAATTCCAGCACTGAATGCTGATGTGCACACACAGCTAATGGTATAGGCAAGGACCTGAGAAGACAGCAGACAAATGTTTCTTCATGAGGGAAAATAAAAGAACATGGTTTAGTTGGCACAAATACTCTGTGAAACTCCTCCCCAAGATAAAGATTGCCTTCAAATACACCACCTACAGACTGTGGACTGTTTTATTCCTGATTTATATTTCCTAACAATGTTATGAGGTGGGTGTCATTATTCCTACTTTATAGATATCGGACTTTGAAGGTCAAGTAGACATAGCCAGCAAGTGACAGAGGTAAGATTCAAATCCAGATCTTTATACTCTAAACCAAAAACTTCCTTTATCAACTTAGAACACAGCATCTATCAAGAGTAGAAGCAGATTTTCATAACGGTGGACGTTACTACGATCCAAGGCCAAACAGCAGAGGAAACTCAAAGACGTGAAAGAAATACTGCTACATTAAAATTCCTTAGTAGCAGTAGTGGAGCATAAAGGACCACGACTGTGGGCTTCATAGTTAGAAAAATTGTGTAGAGTAGAGACAATGCTACTTACTCATTAGCACTGGTAGGATAATTTAACAAGTAAATGCATAAATAAATAAATGAAGAAATGAACACATGACAAATAAAAAAGAGTATTCGGAGTAGAGACAGAATACTCAGGTGTGTGTCCCAAAGTGACTATTTATTGGCTAAGTAACTTTGGGCAAGTCAATCTATTTGAGCCTCAGTTTTTGCAAATCACAGTTAATCACTCCTCCCTCCTGCTTTGTGTTTTCATGATGAAACCCTCCCTTACAAAGATGCTCTTAAGACAGAGTGGAAATATTCAACTCCTACTGGTTGATATAGCATGACAGAAGGAAGCAGTTTCTAAGGGATAAATTGGATAATAAAACATCAGAAGGGAGAAAAAATGCTTGCTCAAGGCCTTATAAATCAAAACATCAAGGCAGACAGATAAAAACCTTGCTTTCATTTATTAATTGAATTGCTCCTCAGTTGCAAAGTTTCCCCCTTTTGCTTGAAAGAAAATATGTACTTTTAAATTGTGCTCTGCCCCACTTTAAAAATGGAAATGTGGTGCATGCATGTCTTAGAACAAAACTTCAACCCTCCATGCCCCAAAGAAATTCACCGATTCAACAAGTCCCTTTGCTGAAAGCAGAGGAGCTGAGCAGGGAAACACAGCAGCCATTATGTACTCATCAATAGCTCGTGGGCAGGCCGGGACAAAATAGAATCTGCTCTAATGAGAGGGAGAATCTGGCCAGGCCAAGAGGTCGTCTCCAGCGCTCCCACAGAAGAGCACAGACGGTCCAGCTTCACCTGGGCACAACAGACACACAAGCCTCAGATGTTCTCTGTCAACAAGGTCGACACTCACAGACTGTGTCACATGAACTGCGATTCTGCACATGTTTGCGCCTAAACAGAAAAAGCTCTTCATTTAATCTGGTAAGGGGAATTTCCTCAATCATTTTTCCTGCTAGCTAATATTTAAAAAGCAAATGCCTTTTCGATCCACAGTTTAAGCTTTTTCCTGGTCATCCTTCAAAGTTACGTTTGGCTTGGGCATAATTCTAAAATCTCCATTTAACCTTCCTCCAGAAATTGCAGGTCTTCTTAGAAAGTACCTCCTAGTGATGTTGACTTAGGTTTTTGTATTCACTAAAAGTTCTTATCTTATATGCCGCATTTAAGTCTACGTTGATTTAAACAGCTGTACAATTTGAAAACCTCATGATCTAATATATAGGTTGTTTGCCATTCAGATTTTCTCCTTGTCCCAGTTGACACTGAGGAAGAATTTAATTTTAGGGTTATCAAAATGTGAGAAGTAGAAAATAAGCAGCAACAGGAAAATAAAAGACAGAAAAGGGAAAAAAACTATAACCTCATCTCCTACCTCCTGAAATGTTCTGCTCTGGCTCCCACTGTCATCGAGGTATGTAGAAAGCTTCCGAAGTGATGCTGCCACATGAACTCGTGACTCCATTTGGCTGCTGTGGCTCATGAGGGACAGAACAAGTCCAACTCCCAATATACAGCCCGTGCTTGGATGCCAAAAAAGATCAGGTGTTAAAATCACAAGAATCCATGTCATCGCTCCTCACTTATCATAGGAGTTTACGGTGCTCTGCAATCCGAGGTGAGACAACTAGATTCTAATTCTGCTGCCTGCTATGTAAGTGTGTCCTATGAGCCACCACAAGTATACCCACCTCCCCTCAAAAGGAATGCTTTATGTCAAAACGGGTGTCAGTGGCCCATGCTAGTGCTGTGTACCCACTGGAAAAACAAACAAACAAAAACATGAAATAGTTTGACTTCAACTCTACCGTAAGGAGAGAAGGAAGTATAAAAAGTAGTCAAACCAGCTCTATCTCCGCCCTTAGAGAAATGCCCTGGCCTTCTCTCCACCCCTCCCCCCTACGCCCCTCCCCGCCCTGCCTGTGTGCACTATGCACTATGACTAACTGCATGAGGACAGAAAAGACTAAATTTCAGGATATGAGCTGAGGACATCTGACTAATAACAGGGTGAATAAATGAGAGGCATGATTATGAGATACTGCTAAGTGCTTCATGTTTCCTAGTCAACTTCAACAAGTGGAATTTCTTTCTTAAAGAAATTGTGCATTTGTCAGCACACCATGACATTAATCCTCTTCTCCCCTCTGATCCCGCGGGGTACCACTGGGTCAGAAGAGAAAATGGACAAATGACAGGCTTGTCAAAAGTTACCCCATGTGATGATTCAATTGGAATCTTGGGCTTTGTGTCTCAATTCTCCTGAAAGAACACATATCCATTTAAATAAATGAATTGTTCTCCCAGAAAACTTCTAGCTAGTATGATAAAAAAATGCAGCTTTGGGATGATTTTTTTACTTTTTTTTTAAAAAAGTTGTCATCACTGTTGTTTTTCAAATTGAGAGCATGCTGAGTTTTTCAGAAATCGTCCTCACTCTGATTTGGCTTGCCTCTCATCATATCTGCTGCTTAAGAAGACATCCAGAGCATTTCTCCAATGACATATTTCAATACCTGTAGTCATTTTGCTCTTATATAAGCATCTGTCTCCTTCGCTGGCATCGAAAACCTTCACGTCGTTTCATGAATGTATTAATTGCTTCCCCCCAATACCTCTGTGCAAATGGAGCTTCCACATATGATAAGAGACCCCAAAAAGAAGGAGAGGCTACAGGATTTGCTCAAGGTCATGGAAAGAGTTTCCAGCAGAGCACGGCCAGAAGATGGAGGTTTCTATTCCCAGCCTTCTGTGCCATCTGCCAAACCCCAGCCCCTCTCAGGCGCTGCAAGACGCCTATGAGAAGGCAAATAGCTCAAGCGTGTTTTCTAGGTTCTACTGCATAACAGCCTAGGATTAGAAAATTTTTTGTAAAGAAGCTACTGCAGTAACAATTCATCATTAGTCAGGCAGAAATGCTGTTACGGCTTACATGAACTTAACAAGCTCAACTAGCATAATACATTTCCAACCAGTTAAGTCAGCATCTAATGTCTGAGCACTGCATGCTTTTGAGACAAAGTATATTTCTGAAAGAGAAGAGATCACTCTTTATTAGTATGGATTTAAGTCTTTCTTTTCATTTAGAATCTACAGGGAAGTTTTCCTGACTATCTTTCTATACTGATGTATATAAAATTTTGATAGAATTATACCAAAGATATAGTGAGACAAAATGTGATTAATACATTGAAAATTTTTTTTGCTCCCCCGCTGACTATTTAACTGCTAGCTACGCTTAGGATTTCAAATGTTACTTCCTCAGGGACACTCTTCCTGGCCCAGCAGGGAACCACTTTAGCATTCTCCCATAGCATCCTATACTAATTTACTTCAGACAATTTTAATTATAAACTCTGATAAGGATTGTTTGGGGGACTACTTAATTACAATCCACCTCTGTTGCTAGCCTGCAAGCTCCATGAGGGTGAGTACCTTTTAAGTTTTTTCCTCACCACAATATCTGTGGCACCTAGTATACTGCTGGATGGGGATAGGCATGCAGCCAACATTTACTGAATGCTGAAGAACTGACCAAGTGCAGCATTTTAAGAGAGTCTAAGGTGGAGAGATGTTCTACAAAAATGGAAACAAAAACAAAAACCAAGACTTCATTCTTTTGGTTAACTTGATATTTTGTTAATTTTGGCAAAATTGATGAGTAATAAAATTCACTGGATCCAAGATTCTATCAAGAAAACTTGATTTCTATTTCCTGCCAGACTAATATAAGAAAAATGGGTGTTAGGTTCATGTGGAAAAGGATTCCTTTTAAAGTTCGCTTAAGTAAGTATTGGGGTTTGTCTCTCTCAATAAATAGGCAGGTATATAAATCTTGCTCTTTGGGCTATTCTGGGCACAGAAAAATCTCTATCCCTCGGACTGAAGCTCCTCCCTTACCATCCCGAGGCCCATGGGCACAAAGGCTTAGAAAAAGAGATCCTGGCTTTTAGTTCAAATTTACCTAAATATTATTACAGCATAATTATTCTTAGGCAAGGTTACCATTCACTAATGATTCATTTGCCACAGTGGTAATTATTGGACTGTTGTAATATATGAATATATAATCTAACTATATTTTGTGCCAATATAAATGTTAAGAGTATATGCATTTATTCACCTTCTAAATTGTTTCCTTCTCTTTTGTCTCATTTTTTCCGACATGCACCACGAAGCCAGTTCTAAATCTTTATTCCTGATGTTTCCTTCTGATTTCCAAATCTTCTATATTTTATTTCTTGTCCTAAGTCTTAAAGATTCTCCCAAGTGCCTAGTTCAGTATTGCCACATTTACCTCATTCTAGCTTCCCTTTGATATATCTGCCAGCTCTAATCCAAGAATAACTTGGGCAGAGGAAACTTTCACATCTTTCTGTTCACTGAAAACAGAAGGGGTTAGGTGTTGGTGTCTCAGATGAAACAAAAACAAATTAAAATATTAGGTATAAAATTGAGGTTTTGAAATTGCTAACAAATCTTCTATAATACTATCAAATTATAAAGAGAATATGAGTTTAGAAATTACATGCCCTATTACGCCATTACTTACTTGAATCTCTTACCCAAGTACATTAAAATATCACTAGCAAAAAGAAATTCTGCGACTTTAAAGCTATACCTTTCTAAAATAATAGTAAATGTTCTTCTGTATGCTTAGTGCTAATAAATCACTCTTTGTACATATTCAAAGGAAGATATGCAACTCTGATATGTGTGTTGCTATATCAACTGAGATATATTTTTCTAAAACTAACCAGAGATGAATCTAGTTTACTGGAGACTAAGTACTAAGCCATATAATAATTAGTTCTAATAACAGTTAACATTCGTATAGCACTTTGCCCTTTACAGAGTGCTATACAAATGTTATCGTATTTATAAAAGCTCAATAGTAATTAACCAACGCTCAGATAGCCTGACTAGTCAGTCAGTCACAGCTGTGAAGGCTGTAATGGTACAGTAAGTACCACTAGATGGCAGCAAAATGTTAGTGATAGGACCACAAACACTGCCGAGCCCAGGTGCTTGGTTCTCTCAGCAGGGACATGTCTATTAAATCAAAGAAGCGTGGTAAATTCGCTCTGGGTGAATTCTATCACTTGAGGTAGCACGCTCCCAGATCTATTAACTACCTTTTGGTAATGCTTCCACTATTTCACTTGAAGGAGGACTACCACAGACTCCTGCAATCTCATTAGACAAGGGACTACTTTATGCCATGAGCCCTCGTTAGAGTCTCCTTTTTTTTTCAAATGGTGAACATGACCTGTGCATCAGAAAAATAATAATAAATACCATACTGTAAAGTGTCAAACTGCTTTCTATTTTTTTTTTTCTGATTTTAAAAAATACTTATTTCCGTTTATTTCACCCATTTCACCACCCATCTCCCCTTTGGCAATCATCCCTTGTTGTCTATGGGTATGTTTCTGTTTTATTTGTTTTGTTTATTCATTTTTTTGTTGTTGTTTGTGTGTTTTTAGAGTCCACATATAAGTGAAAACATATAGGATTTGTCTTTGTCTGACTTATTTCATTTAGCATAATACCCTCTTGGTCCATCCATGTTGTCACGAATGGCAAGGTTTCATTCTTTTTTATTGTAATATTCTAGCTTTCTTTCTAATGAAATGTTCTCTACACTGTACTAGCAAGAGAGAGGAAAATAGCTTTGAAGTCAGACGACCTAAGTTTCTCTCCTAGTTCTGCCACTTATTGTGTGACCTTGAACCAGTCTCCTATTTGAAACTCACTTTCTTTATCAATAAACCAAAGTGATGGTGATTCCTGCTTTGGTATCAATATTTAGGCTGTAATCAGGGCTTAATTACATTAGAAACTGACTAGCACAACATGTGGCTACTTAGTATTTAGCTGAACCTCAAACCGAAGACAGAACTACGGAAGCCATGACAATCACAAAACATTAGGAATGACAAAATACTAAACTTTGTTAACTATGGGAATAACATGAATTTGAAGAGAACAGAGAGAGTTTCTTGAAGAAGAAACTGAACTTTTAATTTGACTTTGAAAATAAGCTAGATTTTAGATTTTACCATATGGACAGAAGTTTTCTGATGACTCTATTCTATTTGACTCGGAAGGGTTAGTCCCCTATCTAGGCCCACTCTTCCCTCTCCTAAACACTGCTGTTCATTAACAAGGTAAGAATCAAGAAAGAAGGTAAGAATAAAGAAATGCAAAATAAAGAAATCTTATTAATATAAAATGTTAATTTGAAGTTAAATATACTTAGACATATGATTTTATTATATGCATAAATACCCATACTGTGGTTATTTTAGTTCTCCCCATGGTCCTCCTTACATTCAAACAATCTTCCTGTAAACTAATGAAGATGATACATAAAAGCCATTCTTGATTGTTTTCACTGAAAGTTTGCAGCATCTTAATCACAAAATTTTTTCCCAACTTCATAATACTTGAGCTATAGCTAAGATAAACACCTCTGGGGAAAAGGCAGGAGTAAGAAAGGTAGGTGTGTGTGTGTGTGTGTGTGTGTGTGTATGCGTGCATGAGACACACACACACACACACACACACACAGATCAGGTCCTACAACTATTTCACCATAAAATACAAATTTTATGGCAGAGAAAGAACTAATCTCTAAGTATCTGTTAGAGAGGAAGTGGAACCAACATACTTATATTCAAGACTAGTGTCAAAGCAGCAATTTTCCAGGGCATCCAAAGACTTCATCAGAAGAAGGTTCATCTGCTGGCCAGATATATCACTGGGTAAAAACCAAAAGGGAAAAATTGAATTATTTAAAGTCATTCCACTGTCCAAACTACTTACTATATAATATTTTGCTCTCAATATTTTATTGAAAATCTATTTCTTTAGAAAGAACATAAAAGTAACAAGAAGAATATTGATGATTCATATACACTTGCAGAGAAACTGAGTTAGAAAATTTATTCAATAATTGGGTTTCTAAACATTACAATCATTTGCAAACCAATAAACCCTAAACCTGCTACTTTTGCATTTTCTTAGCTCAAATGTTTCTGTAATGGGAGTATAGCTGACATACCACATTGTATTTGTTTCAGGTGTACAACATAATGATTCAACATTTATATACCTTATGATGTGATCATCACAATAAGTCTAGTAACCATCTATCACCATATAAAGTTACTACCATATTACTGACTATAGTCCTTGTGCTTTACATTATATCCCCATAACTTATTTATTTTATAACTGGAAGTTTGTACCTTTTATTCCCCTTCATCTTTTTCATCTATCCCCAACTCCCATACTCCTTTTCCTCTGGTAACCATCAGTTTGTTCTTTGTATCTATGAATCTGTTTCTCTTTTGTTTGTTCATGTGTGTTATTTTTTAGATTCCACATATAAGTGAATTCATGGTATCTGTCCTTCTCTGACTTATTTCACTTAGCGTAATACCCTCTGGATCCATCCATGTTGTTACAAATTCAGCCCAAACTTGAAACAACTAAAAAATAAGAACCAAAGTCAGAATCCCAAAAAGTATTTCTAAGAATGCTACAGTGATTTTCTTCAGAATATTTAATAAGCCCATTAAGCTGATATCATCAATAACTGTTTCAAATCTCTTTCTTGGAAAGATGGCTACTTCTGATTTCATCTCTGAGAGAGATGAAAGGTTATAGTTTTATTCCTTTACTTATATTTTTTTAAAAGGAAGGGGAATGCCAGCCTTATATTTTTCTGACTTTATACAGTAGTTGATGAGAGTTTTGTAATTGTCTTGGTGAGAACTATGATTTGTATAGTAAAATAAACTTAAAGGTTTTTTTTTTTTTTTTTTTTTTTTTCAGACAGAGTTGTGGACTTCATCACCAACACTTGATTATCTAGGGTTCTTACATGTCAACTCTTGTGCTACTGCCTCAGCCCATGCTGAGTGGAATGCAGTCCCA